TAAGTCATATTTTTTTTTCCTAGTGGGATGCTGATGAACAGGCATTTAACACAACTGTGAAGCAGCTGCTGTCACGCCTTCCGAAGCAAAGATACCTCAAATTAGTCTGTGATGAAATTTATAACATCAAAGTAGAAAAAAAGTAAGTTATCACTTGGGCATAGCAGGTTTCACATGGTTAAAATTCAGGGAGGTGGTTTCAGAGTGACATTATTTTGTTGTCTTGTTGAGGCTTGACACCTAAGCTGTTGCTAGAACTGCAGGTGACAACCAGTCAGTCTTGCTTGGACTGTGAATCACAGTCATGATCTTGTCAATAAGAAAACACAGGAGTCCTAGGAGTAGCTGTCTCAACTATACAGTTTTGTTCACCCAGGTAATTCACTTTCTATAAGTATGTTAAAATTAAAGAAAATAACCATGACTAGTTTGCTCTGTGCCCTTATGTCATAATGCCCATCATTCATGTTATCATCCACTTAAAAAGCAACAAGGAAGCCTATGAGGTGAATAGTTATCTCCTTATTAGGACCTTACACTACAGACCCCCGTCAGTCATACCTTGTTTAAAACCTATATAATTTTTTAGTAACTAGTCTTCTACCTTGTTTTTGCTTAAATAAAGCTCCTACAAGTAAGTGTTCTAAAAATTTATTTGCTCTGTTCTTCACTCATTAAACTGAGTCTGTCTTTTTAATCTTTTCCTTTCTTTTGCAGGGTGTCTGTGCTATTTCTGTATAGCTACAGAGATGACTACTACAGAATCTTATTTTAACCCTAAAGAACTGTCGTTGACCTCATTCAGACAGAGGCTTATACTGGAATAATGGAATGTTGTACATTCATTGTCATTCAAAATTAAATTCTAAGACGACGCTGGGCACAGTAGTTTACACTTGTAATCCTAGCATTTTGGGAAGCCAAGGCAGGAAGATTGCTTGAAACCAGGAGTTCAAGACCAGCCTGAGCAAAAAGCAAGACCCCCATCTCTACAAAAACTAAAAAAATTAGTAGGGCAAGGGGACATACACCTGTAGTCCTAGCTACTCCAAAGACTGAGGTGGGTAACTTGAGCCTGAGGAGGCTGAGGCTGCAATGGGCTGTGACTGCGCCACTGCACTCCAGCCTGGACAGAGCAACACCCTGTCTCAAAAAAGAACAAAAAAAATTCTAAGAAGCTGTCCTACAAAGTTGAGCTTTGTTAGTTTTTCATGTGTAATATATTATAAATTTATCTTTTGGGATATAATAAATGCTTTCATATACCTGCTGCTTTTTAATTGTAAATCTGTTAACACTAAAGGTTGTTTGGAGCTGGAACATAAGATAATAGCCTTCTCTTCCCTTGGCCGTTAGGACTAAGCACCTGAAAATATCCAAACTAAAGGGCATAAAGAAACCAAAAATCACTATTTGGAACCTATATTCTTGATGACTTTGTAGTATGTTTCTCCTAAGGTAGTTAAACTCTCATTTGACTATGAGTACTCATTCAAACTTGGTAAAGGAACTATGATGATAAAATTATACAACCAGGTAGGAAGCAACTCATGAAATAACGTGACTTTTTACAGGTTCAATTCCAATAACCTAGAAGGTATTATAGAGCTAAAGCCTATTCATTAATCACATCATTCTAGAAATAGTTATTGCCAGAACTATTAAAGTGGGGTGGTAAAAGGAATAGAGAGACGGTGCTGATAAACAGACATGTTTAATGATAGCTTGCTCTTCAGAGATGACTACAGAGACTTTTAATCTATAATCCAGGAGTATATAACCATGCAGCACAGACCAATTAACCAAATGTAAAATAAACTAGGTTCTTACTACAACTACCCTATAAACATTGCAACTATTCTTTCCAAAAGGACCCTCATTTTATGTGAAAACACCTACTGTGGGGGAACCAGAAGCCTAGCTACGTGGCCAAAAGTAAAAACCAAAGGAAAAAATAGCAACTCAGTGGTTAATTGGTAAAAGCAAGAAATTTGTGTCCTTTACTGTGCTGCTGCTGCTGCTGCTGCTGTTGTTGCTGTTGATGCTGCTGCTGGTGGTGGTGCTGCTGCTGGCGGTGGTACTGCTGGTGCTGCTGGCGCTGGAGCTGGTGCTGCTGGCGCTGGAGCTGGTGCTGGTGCTGCTGGAGCTGCTGCTGCTGCTTTGGTCTTCTTAGTTTTGTTCTTTTTGTCCCTCTTCTTCAGCCCATCCATGTTAGCTCTCAGTAGGTTTGAATAAGCCTGAAAGACACAGAGCATACCTTAGTGGGAAGATGTGCAAATTGGTAGAACAGCTGCCCTACTGCATAATGGATTTAGGGTAGCCAAAAACCAGGAAGCCTACCTGATAAAGAATATAGCACTATGGGACACTTGTACTGAAAAATGGAATAAGCATAAAGTACTCTTCCACATTATAGCAGCTTCTGCAACACCCACAGAGAGTTGCACATATTTTTTTCTTTTTTTTTTTTTTTCAAGGTAAAGTTGCAGGCAACTTCTTGTTCAACTATACTATAGGTAGCGTATATCTATAGCCTAAGACAAAATCTAGCTAAAAAAAACAACTAGAAAGATGGTATTAGCATTGAAATTCACACCCTGACAGCTTTTTTACTAGAAACACACTGGTAAAACTTATCTCCAAAGAAGAGTGAACCTAAGTATCAATCTTCCCCAGTGTTCACTATCATCCTGACTCTTGCCCTGAGAAGCGAGACATAAGGAACACTCAAAACTCACCATCTGAAACTTATTCACCTCCTTGGAGCTCACCTGAAAAGGAAGGAAAACAGAGGTCACATCTATTATCCATATAAGCATCCTCTTCTCCACCCCTGATAGTATCTCAAAAGCCTCCCAAAGACAACATCCTATCTTTAAAATAATTCTTCCCAACTTCAGGGCTCATTATACAAAAATGATTATTTTTCTACTCTACTTTCCTCTGCCTAGAGAGCAAGCAAAGGAGCTCTGCATCTTTTTCCACGAGAATTGCACCAAGATGTGAAAGACAGTAGGCTCCTGAAAAAGCTGTTTCTCACCCCCTGAAATTCCTTAAAGAGGTGGCACTGAGTTTTCTACCTGCGTTCTGAGAAATGTCAGAGAACTTCTCAATATTAATTTTTTGTACATTAATACAAGATATATTTAAACTACTCCCTTCCCATCTTATTTTTAAACCTACTTTCCATTAATTCAAGCATATTTAAGCACAGTGCAAGTTACCACAAAATAAATTCTACTTCTGAAGAAGACTCCTTAGGTTTTTGTATTTCATGATAGCGAACTTTATTTGTAAAAACCACATAAGCTTGTTTTACTGTAAAAATCCTCTCAAGATAACTTGTCACAGGAGACCTATCAACTAAGTATAGTCTCCATTTTCATGTAATAAGTATCCTAAACTAATGTGATTAGAGAGCAAGTTTGGTTCTGCCACAGCAGAATAAAGCAGTATTCACACAATTCAGAGTCACTTGCTTTGCCTTATTCAATCTCCACTGAAAGACTGGAGCTCTTGACTAAATGTATATTTTCTCAAGCGTCAAACCCAACATTTAGCTACATACTCGCTATGTGAACCACAAAGATAAGAAAATAATAGCATACCTGGTATGAAGAAACTTTATTGAAGGCCCAGCACAGTAAGGGACCAAGGAATCAAATATTTATGCCAACTGCTCCTTACAGTACTACAAGTAAGGACCAATATGCTACTTTCATTTCCACAAAAATGTTAGCATAACTAACGACTTTTTGATCTCTACTTTCTTCATTTTATTTTATTTTATTGTTGAAGTTTCTACTACTAACGTATAGGAAGGTCCTGGTCTCAAAAATAGCCAAAGACTTACACAGGGCAAAAGGGAAAAATAATTAAAAGCCTGTTTCAGAAACGCCCCATCCTCTGTTAAGTTCAAGTCTTTACATTTCAAAAGATGGCCTTAGCAATCAAGCTCACCACAGTGCTGATCTTCTTTTTCCCATCAGTAGCTCTTAACAGACACTTGTTGTCTGCGGGCTCAAAGCCCTCCACAGTACCTTTCTTTGGAATGGGTTTGGTTCGACCATCATCTGCAAGAAAAATGCATCTTGGTGAACACGGCCGCGTACGAGGCTGAGCGGCAGACAAACAGTTAAAAGAGGGGCGGCGGGAGGGACGTGATGACCTAATGCAGCCCCGCTGCTCTAGTTCTGCTGCACACCTCGTCTGCTACCACGGCCTGGCGAAAGCCTGGAGAAACGATGACTTCCACGACGGACACATGCAATACCGGAGCTTGTTAAATCCCACTCAAAGTGGCGGCGTTTGGGATCCCTGACAAAGAGCCCTGGCCTGCCTGGGGCCCACTGTTACCAGAAGCGGCTTAGGCGGCTCAGCGCTGGGGGCCGCGCCAGCCACAATCCCTAATATTTTCCAGGCCCGAAGCCCCGAGTGTGCCCAGTACAGGGTGGCGGAGGTAAGGGGAAGGCGGGGGTCCGCGGCAGGCAGACGCCGGTGGCTCCCAGACACCGGGAACCCCGGGAGCACTGCCCGGCTCCCCTCCCGCTGCTTACACTTCTTCAAGGTGATGTAGACGCTGCCCGACGTCCGGCACTTCTGGAAGAGTCTGGTCAGCTCCGTCAGGAACTGGAAAACAACAGGCCCAGCCCCGTTAGCCAGCCCCAAGTCCTCGCCCCGCCGCGTCAAAGCCCTGGTCCTCCCGCAGAAGGAGGCAAAGGCCTCCAGCAAAGCCTGAGCCGCCCCCGTCCCTCGGCCGGCCAGGCCCGGCCCATACCTGCTCGCTCTCCAACAACACCATCGCGGCGACGCTGCCTCGACTCCCTCAGCTTAAGCCCCTAGCATTAAGAGCCGGAAGCTCGGCCTAGGCTGGGCGGGACTTCCGCTACAAAGCTTCCAGTGTTTTCCGTCAATCCCTTCTCTTCCACCAATCCCTGCCTCCGCCCTCCCCCCACGCTCCGTCCGCCTAGCGCCGGCGCCCTGGGACCTCTCGGGGGCAAGTGACCTGGGGGCGCTGGGTCTGTCCTGGGCTGCCAGAAGCGAGTTACCGTCTCATCCTAGCCAGTGTGAGGGAGCTAGAGCAAAAGAAAGCTTTGATAGCAGCCTATAATTTATATTCAGCCGTATGCTGGGCAGGTTATCTCACAATTCAGTGCCTCAGTTTCCTTATCCGTAAAGTGAGGGTAATAGTATCTACTTCGCAGACTGGTCGTGAAGCGTAAATGAAACTTAAATACGTCTAAGGCCTGCATTACATCTGGAAGCTTCTGGGTAAAATGTTTCTATGCCCTTCTAGAAGCTGCCTGCATTCCCTGGCTTGTGGTCCCTTCCTCAAGTCATTAAAACCTTTTGCCTCCACTGTCAGATCTCTTACTACTGAGTCTGATGCTCCTACCTCCCTTTTATGAGAACCCTTGTTACATTGGGCTCACTTCAATAATCAGGATAATCTCTCCATGTGAAGGTCCTTAATGTAATCACATTTGCAAAGTCCGTTAAACATGTAACGTATTCACACATTCTATGTACTAGGACATAGACATCTCTGGGGGATCATCCAGCCTGCCACAGAAATTTTTGTAGAAGTCCAGATGCTAATGTGACTGCAGTCAGATTAAACTTTGAAGATAGCCAACAGGACTCATGCAGGAGTAGATGTGAAAATTAAAAGGAAGAAAAAGAACAGCTGGGCGCAGTGGCTCATGCCCGTAGTTCCAACTGCTTGTGAGGCTGAGGCTGGAGGATAGCTTGAGCCTGAGAGGTGCAGGGTGCAGTGAGCCGAGATTACACCACTGCACTCTAGCCTCGGTGACAGAGTGAGACCCTGCCTCAAAAAGAAAGGAATCCGGGATGATTCAGGAGTGTTTTTATTTGAGTAACTGGGCAGATGGTGGTATCATTTAATAAATAGCAAAGATGTGGGGAGTAAAAAGTTTTGATTTGGTCATGTCATATCTGAGATGCCCATTACACATCCAAGTGGAACCACCAAGTGGATAGCTGAATGGGCAAGTTTGGAGCTCAATACAGAGGTAAGAGCTATAATTAAAAGTTGGGAAGTCATCTTCATACACCTCAGGATTAGCAAAGATTAGAAGAGTCTGGTGAAAACCCTTCCTATAGGGCTGCTAACATAAGACCACTCTGTGATAGCACCATATGAATAACCTCCAGTATGGGTGTTCAACCTTTTGGCTTCCCTGGGCCACAATGAAAGAAGAAGGATTGTCCTGGGCCACATGTAAAATACACTAAGACTAATGATAGCTGATGAGATTAAAAACAAATTTTTTTTAAAAAGGTCCATGCATAATTTTCGTGATATCTGCCAACACAGATAAGCAAAAACGTCCTCACATTCAAAGTACTGGACACCTGTGCAAGAGCCCTGGGCCTTGGTATCACTGCCTCAGAAGTCAAAGTCCTGGTTGAGAGCGTCAGATTGACCCATGCATATGCTTGAGCCCAGGTGCTGAGGGCAGGTGAAAGAGTGACCCTCTGATCGTTTCATTTAATTATTTATTTATTGCCTCTCACCAAAACCCACACAATGGGGGATTGCAAACGGGTTCAAATCCAAGAGAAACAAAAGCCAACACAGATTGGCTGCACAAGGTCATCAGCCTAGGGCAGGAGAGGGGCAAAGGGTGCTAGATGTTTTGAAGAAAATGTGAAATCAGAGAGTGAACCTATTTAATAATCTGTTGTTGAATTGCTGGGGAATATGAGGGCTCCCTTGATATTCATGGTCATAAATTTAAATGAAACCAGTTATAGTGTTTATGTGACCTAAGGGTTGGAGATGATGACCATTGTGCTCTGAGCTACTGTCATTCACTGAACATTGAGCGATGTTCTTTGGAGCCATGGGGGACAGGGGGCACCAGGGTGAAGGAAATGGCCCTGCCCTTGAGGAGCACAGAGCGTGGAGGCCATGATTCATTTGGGGCCTCCACTTAAGAGTCAGCAGTCATGCTGGCCACCCTGGGTGAAGTCTCAAGGCTATCCGCAGCAGAATAAACAGGTCTAATAACAAATACTCAAGCATGACATTTTAGCATCGCACTTGAGCCAGTACAATTCAACCACTGACAGAATATTCCTTAGGCTTTGTTTTTCTGTGGGAAATGACTAACAATACCTATTCAGATGTCAAAGTGATCTTCGTTCAGATCCTGCCCCTGCTACTTATTAGTTATGTGGCCTCTGGCAACCTCTCAAGGCCTGAGTCTCTTCACTAGCAAAATAACAATAGTAATGCTTACTTCATTGATGTTATGAAGACTTTCTAAAATACTATATGTAAGACCCTTAGGGTTGCTCTAATATAGTAAATATAGATGTTTAAATTAATTTTTAAATTTTAAGTCATCAGTCACACTAGCCACATTTCAAGGATTCAGTAGCAACATGTGGCTTGGATACTGCAGATGTAGAGCATTTCCATCATCACATTGATAACTTTGGGCCTAGCACATAGTAAATGCCCAATAAACAGTATAGTATCAAATAGTGTTATTTATAGACCACACACTTTCCATCATTTCAACATCACCATTCTAATTTCTGCCATTACCTTAATGCCACCTGTACTATTAGTTAATATTTTTCTTTGACTCATTTTATACTGAAGTGTATTTAATATTATCATCTTAAGTGGAAAACCAGTATCATTTGCCATAAATACAAGGGACCATAAAAGGAAGTACTATGAAGTAAAATAATGTTACTAAATCTAAAATTTTGAGATTAAAAAAGTTAAAACAATGAATAAAAGCAATGATAAAGTTCATTGATTTATAAGACTATATCTGAAAATAAATTCCTCAGTGAGAAAAATGGTATTGTATGTGATCAGTCAGGAATAAAGGTAGCTCAGGGTACAATGAAATTGAGAGTTTATATCAATATAAGAGGGTTAAATTTTGATGTCTTCCAGCACCCAAAATCCTAACTTGCAATTATGTGTGGTTAGGGTAACATATCATTAATCAAATCGTAATTTAAATGCGTAATAGAGGTTAATGGCTTTTGGCCTTAGAACAGAGCAGTATGTATGTGAGGCATGGAGCTGGGTCACTGTCTCTAAGTCATGCAGGCCACAGACCTTCCTGCTCCCTGTCCCTCAGTTTTTCCTCTCCCTTTCACAGTTCTAGGAGAACCATGACATGAAAATCGGTTCCCAAATCCCTTCCTACATCATGGGGGCTTTATCAAAGCCTAGGCAGCACCAAGATCAAAAGGAAGGCCCTGGGCACAAAACACTGTAGCAGCCTTGGCCACTTTGCCATGGGTGGGGATAATACAGGAAGACGGGTGGAGAAGAATAGCTTCTGCTCCTTAGGGATCTCCAAGTGGACCGAAGGGACCTGAATAAATATGCTTGTTTGTACAACCTGAGATCATCTTTCCCAAAATACAGGGGTAATGTGTTTTTTCCTCAGACAGAGCACACTTTAATCTATTAGGTTTTAATCAGAATTGGTTTTGAATTAGGGACAAGGATCTTTATAAGTTTATGGTTAATTTACAGCTGCAGTTACACTCGTGCAATTACACTTTGCAGTGCCTGGAAAGTATAATGGTTAAAAACACAGTCACTAGTTCCTGGCTGGGGTTGCTAGCTGGGGCAGTCACTCAAGCCTGGCAAGTCAAGGTTGCAAGAAGGCATGATTGTGCCACTGCACTCCCGCCAGAGCAACAGTGAGATGCTGTCTCAAAAAAAATTTTTTTTTTGTTTAACATATTATTAATAAGGAAAACAAATGTATGTTACAATCCATTCAAAGGAGAGTCCAGTAAACATCAGGAATTCTAGAATGAATTTGTAAATGGAAGCAAAATTGGATTTTGCACAGTCCCTTCTTCACTAAGCAGAAGCATTTGTACAACTGTCCATGACAACAATTCTCTGCATTGCCCTTGAGTCTCTACAAGTTACAGAGTTGCACAATAGCTCAAAGGAAATGAAAGCCTAGACATCAGCTAATCCAGAGGGGTGTGTTCTAAACAATGTATCATTTGTCATTGGAAACATCCACTATTTTTTGTTTTGTTTTGTTGTTTTTTAGTTTATCTTTTTCTTTAATATGTTTGTTTCCACTAATCTTTTTTGCATATTCCAAAATTCCTTAAGTCTCTCTGTGCCTCAGTGTCCTCATCCGTAAAATGGGGAAGTCAGAAAAGTGCCTATGTCATGTCAAAGGGAGGATTAAGTCAGCTCAGGTATGCATTATTACACTGCAGCCCCTTAGATGGGAGTTGGCTGTTCCCATGTCCTCCTTGTCAAGGTGGATTCATTCTACAGGAGCAGATTGCAACAAGATGCTGTGTACCTTACTGAGGACTGAGTTCTGAGGGGAACCATACCTTGGGTTCTGAGCTGCCTCACTGTAGCTCCAGTGTGCTGATTTTTAAGGGGCAGTTCTGGATGAAGGACGAACGGTGTCATCTAAACACATCGAGGAATGGCATTGGGCAGGTCTGGCTTCAGGATGACAGAACCTAAGGCTAGGAGACCTCCTATGTCAGCGGGAGGTGGTTAGCTCTGCTGGAGGCCTCCTAGAGGAGGCCAGGGGGATCTGAGAGTGTGTCCTGGAGGCCTGAGTGCCTGGAGAGAGAAACCACCCTGAAGCCACACCAACACACTCGCTGGTCTCAGTCCTCTCCAACACTGGCAGTCACCAATTCCTTTATTCTTTTCTGCAGTCAGTTGATCAACAAGTGTTCATTGTGTCTGCTCAGCCAACGCAGGGCTCCAGGAACTCTCTCCATCCCCACCCCAGGATGAAGTCCTGGATTTAAATCCCAAGTCCCAGTGCCCTAGAGAGATAGCACAGGTGCCCGGGCAGCAGGTGCACCCTGCTCCTACACTTGCTGAGACCCTGCAAGAGGTACCTGCCTGTGCCTTATCCTCCACAGGGAACCTGCCCCAGAGGGTGGTTGTTGGGTTTCAAGGACATCATCCATGTAAAGGGCTTATAGTCAACACCCAGTTGACGTAGTGTTAAAAGTTTTTTCACTGTTAACGTTCAGGACTTAGGCTAGATTGCTAATGTCACTTCTACTTCCCAAATTCTGAGAACTGCTGCTTTTCTCCCCCTATCCCCTTTTGGAGGCCCTAGGGAAGTTTCCAGAGCCCATGAGTGTCCGTGATTAACATTGGCCTTCCCCCTGCTCACTGCAAGGAAGCAGACAACGCCACCATGCCCAACCTCCAGGCGCAGTCACGGAGGTGAGGAGTGGCCCCGATCGACCTGCCTGCGGCACGCCTCGGGCCAGCAGGGGACGCCCTGTCCTCACCAGACAAGCACATCCATGGGCAGCAGCCTCAGATGCTCCCAGATCTTGCCCTACCATTTATCTTAGATCAACCATAAGAATACTCAAGATCATGGTCGTCATTTTTCAAAAGTACTTCTGTGAATGCTAGAACTTTCCATGTTACAGGAAGATTATCATTCATCCATTCACTGAGCAAGTGCTGGGCACTGTTCTGGGTGCAAGAAGCTGACCAAATTCTCCACTAGAGAAGAGACTGTTTTCTTCTCAGATAATAGCTTGCTCATATTTGTTGAGAGGTTACTAAGTGCCAGGTTCATTTTTAGGTGCTTACACGTATTCTCTTTTGAGTCCCCAGTAGTCCTGTGAGGTGAGCATTGCTTTACGCCTATCTTTGGGCTGGAAATACTGAGGAGGTGAAATGACTGTCTGGGGTCATACCACTAGTAACAGGTAGAGTGCAGATTTGTTCCCCTGCTGACCCACCTCCGTTCTCTGCACAGAGGAGGCTCCCACCTCTGTGCGGAGAAGAACTTGCAAATGATTGCAGGCCACGGGCAGCTCGGGAGTGGAGCGGGGACTTTCAGCTGTTTAAAGAGGTGGCAAGAAGCCAGGGAAGGCAGAAAAGAGGCCTGCTCTAGGCAGAGTGGAATGAGCTGGGACTCCCTCTCCACTCCTCATCTTTTCCTCCCTCCCAAGCCCCTGTCACCCTCTCACCTTCCATGCAAAATCCTGTCTCCTTCGTCCTGTCTTTGGATTCAAGGCCCAACTTGGCATTTCCTGGTTGTGTCTCTGAAGGAAAGTTATCCTAATCTTTATAAGCTTCCATTTCCTCAGCTGTAAAATGGGAATATCTTCCTCACATTGCTGTGGTGAGTAAAATGTGACAATGTGAATATAAATACCTTATAAGTGAGAAAGCATGCCAGAAAAGCTAGGTTTCATTGTTCTTTTCCTCTCCTTCTCAAGTATAAATATTCAGTCCTGCAAAACACCCTCCCTCCACCCCCACCAAAATCCCAGTCTCTTACTAAGCTCAGCTAGCTGTGTGGAGGCAACCTATCTGGTAGCTGAATCACACTAACATGTTCAGGACAAATGGTGAGTCTGTCACACGCACTCCATTTGTGGAGGAAACTTAGGTGACGTTAAACTAAGAAAAGACTCTAATGGTTGGATTTCTGGTAGAGGGGCTTTGGAGAGATACAAAGGAATTGCTAGTACCCTCCAGGCTACACCCCATGGGCAGCCGCTGGCCCTACATGCCTGCAAGGCCATCTTTGTACAGAATCAGGTGTCGGCACTCATGAAGCATATGTGAACTTTAACAGGGTCTCCCCTTCTCATCTACGATTTCCTTCCTGGCTGAGCCACAAGAAGGGGGCTGGCATACCTCATATTGTATGATGGGAAACTGAGGCCAGGAAAGGCAAGCATAGTTATTGCTCAAGCATTCCGAGCCAGGCTGGAGGTCTGGGGCGTGAACACCTCTTCTTGCCTTCCTCCTCCCCCAACTTTCATGGTTTTAGTAGGTGGGAGGAGGGGCTCCCTTATTCATAATGATTAGGGGTCCCAAATTTAAAGTTTCCTGTCTAGAAGTCTAGGACAGGAAATTATATACCCAGAGTTCTGCACAAATTACCCAGGTGTCTCAACTCCCTAAAGCAACAGATGCTGTTCATCTCTCGGCCTCTGTGTCATCATTCATCCTTGATTGTTCGGGAAAGCCCATTCCACCTCTCTGACAGACCAACAGATACAGATTTATACAGGGAATCCTAGACAAACACAATGAACAAACTCCCATCTGATCAGAGCCAAGTCCTGGTAGTAACGTCAATGAATCATCAACTTCAGTGCGTCACAATATTGAGCTGCAAGAGGACTCCAAGATCTTTTAGTCCAACCCTTTACCTTCTAGTTATTCACAAGTGAACAGAAACCGAGTGAGGTCCAAAGAGGGAAAGTGACTTGACCAAGATCACAAAGCTTGATAATGATGAGATTGGAAGCCCTGGGTCCTGAGCCCCAGGCCCATGCACTTTCCACCACCCTTCACACCCCTCTGCCTGCCACCACCTGCCAGGCACAGAGAGGGGGAGGGAGAGCATAGGCCCCTCATGACTTAGCCAAGGGCAGCTCGGTGTCTCCGTGCAGGTGGACTCCATGTGTCAGCCTCAGCCCTCCCTTGGGGAGGGAAGGGCCTGGGGCCGTCCTCACACCCCAGGCGCCAGGCCATGGAGCTATAGGAGGCAGCTTCCTGCTTGGCCCTCACCCAAGGCCATTTCACAATGGGGGGAAGAGCGCTGAGCTGAGAGTCCCGGGTTGCTGCTCGCTCCACCCCCACTCCAGCCCCTTTCAGACCCCCCAGGGAGAATGAGCCAGGCCCTGACTGAGGCTTGGGGAGAAGAGAGCCACAAGAACGGAGACATGCTAAACAGCCCCTATTGGGAGTGTTCTATGAGCCGTGTCCCTGGGGCGGGACGAGGGCACCACCTTGCAGGTCACCACTGCTCTCCCCCTTCCCTTGCCGTCCACCTGCAAGCATTCATGCTGGGGAAGTCCCTTCTAGGACAGGAGCAGTCGGTTCCAGTCAGCCCATAGCACTCTCATGATTAATCAGAGGGGAACCTGGAGGCCCATAGCTTGGCGGGGGGCAAGGCCTGGGTCACTTCCTGCGGTGAGGCAACGTGACTACCAGGCAGAGGAGCCCACATTTCTCCTCCCAACATGCTCCAGGTTCTGGGGTGAACTGTGGCTCAGCAGACTGAAATTCAGGCAGGAACCAAGAGAGAGACACTGAGACGGGACATTCAGCCAGGATTTACTGTGCCCTTGTGGATAGGGTCTGCTATGAGCTCAGCTCTGTATGGGATCTTGTTTGAAGTGGGAGGCAGTGGTTAAGGACCCAAATCATCCCGTCTTCAAGTCTTGTGGAGGAGACAAAACAAACTTGGGTGAAATGTCAAAGCACAGGACAAGGCAGTGTGAAGTGAGGGCCCACACTCTCATGCTGGACGGTCCAGCATGGCCAGTGCAGCAGGGGTGGCGGAGGGAGTCACTGCGGACAGAGCTTCGGGGAAGAGATAGAACCAAAAATGGTGGGGAGAACTTGACTTTGCAGAAGGGATGGGAAAGATCTTCCAGACAGAGAAAGGAAGACAAGACAGAAATGAACCTGCATACGTGAGAACAGGACCCTGCACAGGGGGTGGTAAACCACGAGACTGGAAATGTGCCTGGCCACGGGCACTTCCTCACGCTGAGCTCTTGCTGCTTGAACACAGCCTTCCTTGGTATCCATGGAAGTTGCTGACCTGCTGAGGCAGGACACCACACGGAGAACTAGGCAGGGGCGTGGAGGTGCCAGAGAGCCCAGCTCCTTGGCGGAGGAGTCCTCTGACAACAGGAAGCAGCTGCAGCAGGCTCGAGAGCTGTACTGGTATCTGCCACTCTCCCCACCCTGGCTGCACCCTGAAGAACAAACTGTTCTTCAAGAAGCTCTGGGGACAGAGGGCCCACACCTGCTCCCAGGACGGGGTGGAGAAACCCCCATCAGCCAGGCTGGGAGCCCAGCAGAGACATCACACAGCTTAGCAGCCCTCCTTGCCCACTGGCCCCCCTGCCTCCTCCTACCCCAGACCAGGCTGCAGTTGACTATGGCAATACAACACAAAACAAGAGCTTTATATTGTTACTATTATTGTTTTATAGAGATTGGGGTCTCACTATGTTGCCCAGGCTGGTCTCAAACTCATGGCCTCAGGTGACCCTCCTGTCCCAGCTTCCCAAAGTGCTGAGATTACAGACATGTGCCACATTACCAGCCAAGAACTTTGGAGGGGGAATGAGAACCGAATCTTCATAAATACCTCATCCTGGAACTTCCAACAACGTCTCCAAAAATAGTACCTAAACTCCAGGCCCCAAACTCTAAACTGAGTGGGCATGTTAAGTGGTTATGGCTTCACAGAAACAGCACAGGAGTGGCAGCCAAGGCACTGAGTTCTAGTCTGAATTCTGCCACTCGTTGGCATGTCACGCGACCTTGGACAAGTCACTTTTCGCTGGACTTGAGTTTCTTCCTCTGTAACTTGGGGAGTTGGGACTGAGCTATGAAGTCCCTTCCCGTTTTAAATGTGACACTCCGATGCTCGCAGGTCACTTTGGGATTGCTGTAGTGACTGGGGGCCAGTGCAGCTGGGAGAGAAATTAGATGAGAATCCAATTGAGGGAAAGATAAAATGGAATTGTATTATATTCAGAACCTGAAATAGATGGGATTTTCTTTCCCCCAGATCCTCATGATAAAGAGATTTGGGGGAAAAGCTTGGGAGATTTGGACTGAGAATATCTTAAGAAGAGATAATTTCATAGAAGATTCCCCAACACTTGGTGGGGAAGAGCGAGAATTCTTCCAGATTCCTTGACGAGCAAAACATGGGGAGTGGGGCGCAGTAATACCAGGAAAGACACATCCCATCCTCCCAGCCCTCTTTTCCCCTTAAGCTGCTCCTTAAAAATTCCTATAACTGGGGACCAGGCCGTTCATTCCAGTTACAGCTAAAACTTGACAGGGCCGTTTAAATTTCCATGAGGGTATAAATGGCTAATATTCTCTCCTTCTGAGACCCAGGGTATGCTGAGAGAGGCCTTTAGAGGAGGTGGGGGCTGGAAAAATGAGTGAAGGTGGAGACCCTAAGATCATGTAGGAGCCATGGCTATTTCCAAAGCCAGATCTAGGCCTAGCAGCTCAGAGCAGTTCCCCGGGGGCAGTGATGTGGGACAAGGCCCTGAGCTTCCTAAGAGCCTCTGGGTCACTTTCTGGAATCTCTCACATTGGCCTCCCTGGGAGAAGGAGCCCAGTGTAGCTCCCACCTGTCTACTGCCTGCTCATCTTCCAGGTGTTGGGGGGATGGGTAACATGGCTGGCCCTCTGTCCTCACCAGATTACCCAAATAGACTCTATGAGAGCTGTTTCAGGAGCCACAAACCTAGGCCTTTGGAGGAGCTCCAAGGAAAGGTGGAGTGTGTGAGGTGGAAGGTGGGTGAGAAAGCGTGCGAGAGGGAACGCACTGTTGTCTACTGGCCCTTTGCCAAACGTTGGCAAACAGCAATGGGAGAGAGGAGTAACAAGGCCAGACTATGGCCATGTTCGGTGATTTGCAACTGAAGCCCACAATGAGGCAGACATGGGCTTGGCATGGTCCAGCCCCTGTGCTCTGTGTGTGGTATGTTGTGTGTGTGGTGTGTGTGGTATATGTGTGTGTGTATGTGTGTGTCTGTGTATGTGTGGTGTGTGGTATGTGTGTGTGTGGTGTGAATGTGTGGTGTGCGTGGTGTGTGCATGATGTGGTGTGTGTATGTGTGTGTGTAGGTGTATGTGTGTGGTGTGTGATGTGTGTGTGGTCTGTCGGGGGTGGGGGTTGTGGGCGTGTGGGGTGTGTGTGGGGTGTGGTGTGTGTGATGTGCGTGGGGGTGGGGTGTATGTGTGGTATGTGTGATGTGTGTGTGGTGTGGTGTGTGATGTGTGTGGGGGAAGGTGTGGGGTGTCAGGGTGTGTGTGGGGGGTGTTTGAGGTGTGTGTGTGGGGTGTGAGGGATATGGGGTATGTGTAGTGTGTGTGTGGTGTGTGTGTGCTATGTGTGGTGTGTGTGATGTGTGATGTGTGTGGGGGGTGTTTTAGGTGTGTGGGGTGTCAGGGTGTGTGTGTGGTGTGGGTGTGGGCTGTGTGTATGGTGTGTTTGTGGATGTGTAGGTGTGTGTGATATGTGTGTGGATGTGCGTGGTGTGTAGGGTGTGTGTATGCCATGTGAGTGTGTGGGGGGGGTTGTGGAGAGTGTGTGTGTGGATGTATGTGCATGGTGTATGC